ACTGAAGGTGGATCACCACAATGAGGAATGAGAGTTGAAAAAAACGTGCATGTAAAACCCCCTCCCGCTTAACAACCCCCTCCCCCTCCCCCTTAACAATAACCCGAAAAAGACATGGACTTTGACGACAATTTTTTTTTTCGGGAAATAAATTTTAAGCAAACCCTAATGATGTATGAATAATTAATTTTTTACATGCAGAGCCAACATTTTCAAAAAAAAATATTGCTTAATAGGAGACATACACTGGATGAATTACCAACAACTGACTGTAAAACATATCTGGTACCTTTATATATGCAATTATATTAACATCCAAAGTCCATCCTTTTTTACATATTCTGCGCAAAAGAAACTTTTTGCTCCGCCCCATTCATAAAAAACGGCGGGAAATCCTGAACCTGAAAAGATATAAAACAGCGCTGCTGTCATGCGTTTGCTCATTGTCGCTTCGGACGGCGTGGCACTTGGTCCTGCAGTAAGCAGGACCAAATCAGCGGCTAAAGGTGGATCACGGCGTGACCACAATGAGGAAAAATAATGATGTAAACCCCCTCCCTCTTTCACAACAACCTCTCCCCCTCCCCCCTTCACAACAATCCCCCCCCCTGAACAACCTCTTCTACCCCCCCCCCACTCATCAACAACCTTTCCTAACCCCCCCCCCACCCCACTCATCACCAACCTTTCTTACCCCCCCCCCCCTCAAATACCTCTCCTACGTCATACTGCGGTCGTGTCTAGGACACAACCCTTTAATTTTTTTATCAGTCGGACATGCTAATAACTTTTCAATATCAACTGGGATCATCTTCCAGCCTTGGACGAAGTTGTTGAGCATATAATTTCCTATTAGGGAATTGGGTTTAGGTATGATTGGGACGTTTGCAAATCCTAGCGAATAAACTATGAACATAGTGTTTTTTTTTATACATTTTAAACATCAACTCCGAAAAAATTGTTTTTTTTAACAAAGCCTCAAGAATGCTTGACAGATATAAAAACGTATTTCGATTTTTACCCACTCTCCATTATAGTCGCTATATTCATAGTCTGGCGGATAGAATCTCGGGAACCAATTGAGCTTTCAAATAGCGGAACCAATCGAACAAATCACGACCAACAACAGAAAAGAGCACATCAGCTATTGCAAACAAAACTTCGGAAACCCTTTTCTCGTGACTCAAGGCTCGCCTACGTAAACTAACACCATCTTTGGGTTGGGGAAAGTTTCCCCTATCCGATGATGCCGGTAATTTGCGTTCGATTGGCGAGGAAAGAATAATCAACGTTTTGTTTATAGAAGTTGATAGTACCTTTTCAATTGTTGGTCTAAAATATATTGAATTGGTTCCGTTTTTTTATAGATCGAAATTCTATACGCCAGACTATGAATATAGCGACTATACTCTCCATCGGTGAGAGTCAATGGTGAGCGGAGAGGGTTGTGTTTTGGTTACCCTAATGGCGTCTAAAGATTGAGTGTGTTTTGGTGTTTCTATTACCATTATTGATGTCTTCCAGCCAGAATTACACCAAATTATATTATAATTCGTGATCACCACAATCGTCAAATGTTGTTAACTATCGGGGAATCACGAGTCTCTCAGCTGTCTCGAAATTGTTTGAGATTATTTCATTCTTCATTCATTTATTTAACGTTGGTCTCTGTTCCGCAATCTAGTGCCATTCACCGACGGACATCGATTGCCATCCATTGACGGCAATCTAATGTGCAGGAAGGCAGCTTCCACACCTGCGTAGGACCAGAGATTTTTATGCCTCAGAAAAATCCCACCGACCTCGGCTTTGATTGAACCCAGACCCATTGGGGTGAGAAAGTAGTCACACTTACCACTACACCACCGGCGCCAGCATTTGAGATGATAGTGGGTGGAGTTATTCTCGATGCCACAAAAAGCTACATATCCACTGATACACGGATTCATGCCCGAACGATCGGTTACCACCAATTCGTTGAATTTTACGTCGAAGTGTATAACGAGTATCGAGGAAAAAACACAAGTTGATGTAATTTATACCGACCTGATAAAATTGATCATAACATACTGCTACACAAGTTATCTCGTCTTGGAGTTTCTATGCTATTGGTTCTTTGGTTGGAATCCTACCTTAAAGAGCGTGTGCTTCGAGTGAAGATTGAGGGTTGTGTATCTTCGCCGTTTTCAAACAAGTCTGGAGTTCCACAAGGTAGTAATCTCGGACCGTTGCTGTTTACTCTGTTCATCAACGATGCTGCTTTGGTTCTGGGCGAAGGATTCAAGCTAGTCTATGCAGATGATTTGAAGCTGTATATAGTGGTGCGCACGCAAGAGGATTGTTGGCTTCGGCAAAACTCGATGACTTTATTTGCCGATTGGTGCCAGAGAAACAAACTGACTATTAGCGTGGAAAAATGTCAGATAATCACGTTTCACCGCATGGAACATCCAATTTTGTTTGACTATCATATCGACGACGATACTCTTACCAGAGTTACCAGTGTGACTGATCTGGGGGTTCAACTTGACTCAAAAACGAGGGGGGCGACTCTATCTACGATGCAGGGAAAATTGTGTTTTGCTGTGCTTTGCTGTGCGCACGCTGAGTAGATAGAAAGAAGATTGATGGCGATTCTGAAGATTTCCTGCAAACATATTATGCGCGATGCAAGTAGATGCGAGAAATGAAAGAAGATTGTTCGAAGATTGATTCGCTAGTGTGAGATTTGTTCAGCATCTAGAATTGAGATTTAGATGTGTCGCCCCCTTCGCTCAAAAATGACTTTTGATTTACACCGTTCAGCGATCATATCGAATGCAACGTGACAGTTGGGCTTTGTGTGTGTGTGCGTGTGTGTGTGAGCGTGTGTGTGTGAGTGTGTGTATGTGTGTGTGTGTATGTCTGTGTGTGTGTGTGTGTGTGTGTGTGTGTGTGTGTGTGTGTGTGTGTGTGTCTCTGTGTGTGTGTGTGTGTGTGTGTGTGTTTGTGTGTGTGTGTGTGTTTGTGTGTGTGTGTGTGTGTTTGTGTGTGTCTCTGTGTGTGTGTGTGTGTGTGTGTGTGTGTGTGTGTGTGTATGTATGTGTGTGTGTGTGTGTGTGTGTGTGTGTGTGTGTGTGTGTGTGTGTGTATGTGTGTGTGTGTGTGTGTGTGTGTGTGTGTGTATGTATGTGTGTGTTGTGTGTGTGTGTGTGTGTGTGTGTGTGTGTGTGTGTGTGTGTGTGTGTGTGTGTGTGTGTGTGTGTGTGTGTGTGTGTGTGTGTGTGTGTGTGTGTGTGTGTGTGTGTGTGTGTCTGTGTGTGTGTGTCTGTGTATGTGTGTGTGTGTGTGTGTGTGTGTGTGTGTGTGTGTGTGTGTGTGTGTGTGTGTGTGTGTGTATGTGTGTGTGTGTGTGAGTGTGAGTGTGTGTGTGTGTGTGTGTGTGTGTGTGTGTGTGTGTGTGTGTGTGTGTGTGTGTGTGTGTGTGTGTGTGTGTGTGTGTGTGTGTGTGTGTCTGTGTGTGTGTGTCTGTGTGTGTGTGTGTGTGTGGATACAATCCATCTCCCACTGACCGGCAGTGCTTTTATGGAAGAAACCTGCCTGCACCTATTTGTTGATAGAACTGTTTTCACCGATAGATGCAAACATTTTTAGCCCTGGAGATGAAAGGTGCTAGCTCAACTGTAAATCCAATAACCCATTTCAAGAATGCCTGTTCTTACACGTACATTCTGAGGTCATCTTCATATACAATAAGCCCCGCATGAACACATTCATATATCGAATGGATATCTGACATTCACACTTCCAGAATCAAAAAGACGCCAATTTGATACTGGCACGTATTTAGTAATTATGTTATAGTTGCAATGTATATGGATAAACAGAAATAATTATATGGATGGCAAATAAACTTAGCTGAGTATTCCAAAGCGTTAGTTTGAACTAACGGCACCTCATACCATGGAACAGCCAGGATTTGACTCTACATTCAGCTCATATTACTGATCACTGCTACAAACACTAGGGACACGTGGAATTTGATAATTACACTGGAGTGATGCGTCCCGCGGGTGATACGTCCCGCGTAAAAAAAAACCGCGTAAAAAAAAACCGCGTAAATTCCGGAATCCGCGTAAAAAAAAACCGCGTAAATTCCGAAATCCGCGTAAAAAAAACCGCGTAAAAAAAGACCGTGTAAGAAAAAACCGCGTAAAAAGCGATATACCGCGTAAATTCTGAAATCCGCGTAAAAAAAAAACCAAAATCCGCGTAAAAAAAAACCGCGTAAATTCCGGAATCCGCGTAAAAAAAAACCGTGTAAAAAAAAACCGCGTAAAAAGCGACTCCAGTGTATAACTTGAAACATTTGTTATACCACTTCTGTGCTTTCAATTTAACTTTTTCTAGATCACAATTGTTTTTTTTTTATTTAACTTTTGCAAGAGAGAAAACGACGCAGCAAAACAAAAACACGTCATTTTCGCAGCGCGGCCTACTTTTCTAATGCAACGTGACAGTTGGGCTTTATTCCAAAAATTGCGAAGGATTTTTCGGACCCACATTGTTGGAAGTCATTGTACTGTGCACTTGTCCGTCCAATTTTGGAAAAATGCGTCCGTTGTTTAACATCCTCACCATGTCACGTAATCTTTGCTTATTGCTAAGCTGTTGAATGGTGAAACTGATGCCCCGAACTGCTTGCAATGTTGAACTTTCGTGTGCCGAGCAGATCCCTTCGGAATACATCGTTCCTACAACCAAGTTTTCACCAAACCATTTTTGGGAACAACGAACCAATCTCAGCGTGTATTCGCGCGTTTACGGCTGTCAAAGAGTTTTTTGAGTTCAATGAACCAACTAGACGTTTTGAAAATCGGATTAGGTCTGTGTTAAATTAGCTTTAATTTTATTCAATAAGACTAAATTTTCAGATGAATTATTTTAAATACAAATACAAATATGTAACATATTTAGCTAAGTGGGTTTTAAATAGATAATAATCATAAGTATATACTCACACTAGGTTCATGATAGTTTTCAGCTCATTAGATAGAATATCACGATCAGCAAAAAAATCTGGCACGTGTCTTCGGCATGTATAGTTGGCGTCGATGGTAGTTTTTGTAGATTCAATTCGATGATAATTAGAATGCAAGAATAAAATTATTTCCAGATCTACAAATACAAAAAAAAAATTATTGAGTGCTGCAATTTAACATTAATGCAATTAGTACTATTAAGGTAGAACGGCACAGATTCCACGTTTTCGATGGTGGAATTCTCACTTGCTCTCCTCTAATGTAACAACTCAGCTCCAGGAATGAATAGAATAACGTTCAACTAGCTCAAAAATCTCCCAGACGTCGTGAAGAGACGCTTGTTGAACTTATTCAATCTATTTCTGGAGCACAACATTGTTCCGGATGACTGGAGGCAAGTAAGAGTTATCGCCATTCGAAAACCCGGTAAACCCGCGTCGGATTATAAGTCGTACCGTCCCATCGCGATGCTGTCCGATATACGGAAATTTTTGGAGAAAATGATTTTTTTCGTCTAGACAAATGGATCGAGTGGAATGGTTTACTTTCAGATACACAATATGGATTTCAGAGAGGCAAAGGAACGAGCGACTGTCTTGCATTGCTTTCAACTGAAATTCAACAGTTTTCTTGGACATTAAGAGGGCTTTTGATTCTGTTTGTATCGATGTTTTTTCGGATAAACTCCACGATAGTGGGCTTTCACCCAGTCTTGTAAGCGGTCACGGTAGTTAACACATATTCTGTGATAATCGACTGCCTTTGCTTCCGACACTTGCAAAACAAGTAATTATAGTACAGTACCAAACTAAAATGTCATATGACAGGCTCTGTCATACGACACTGTCGCCGGAGACCGTCACGAATGTATGTATTTTAGTTTTTCTCATAATAAGAGCTGCTGATATTGTGCTTATGTAAATTCTGAAAATAGCAAGCAACGATGTCGTAGTAATAATATTTCTGATTAGAAATGGCTTGATTTACACCAAATTGAGGAATTAAAACGAAATCACACATGTCATATGATAGTTATTTGATAATTTTCATTTTGCTCGAATGTTATTCTACCGGTTGTGTTGTGTGAGAGAGACGACGGTAGAGCATGAGTTTACGAATTCAAACAGACTGTCACACACAACAACGAAGCAAGTGTAGTAAAAACGTCAACTGTTTCAACCCCTGCTTTCACCAATTATGAACAACTATTTGAGCAACTTGTTGTCTGAGAAATATGTGAGCTTTTCTCATGGAAACTCGATAACTTCACGAATTAGTTACATGGGTCTCCCACAGGGCTCATGTTTAAGCCCCCTTCTTTATAATTTTTTATGTAAAAGACATTGATGGTTGTCTTGATGAAAATTGCTCGCTAAAGCAGCTTGCAGATGATGGCGTTGTGTCTGTTATAGGGCCAAGCGCACCTGACCTGCAAGGACCATTGCAAGATATCTTAGACAATTTGTCTACTTGTGCTATGAAGCTAGGTATCGAATTATCTCCGGAGAAAACTGAGTTGGTTGTTTTTTCTAGGAAGCATCATCCTGCACAGTTACAGTGGTTGCAGCTTCAAATAAAGGGTAGAAAAATCACTCAAAGTATATCTTTCAAGTATTTAGGTGTCTGGTTCGATTCCAAAAGCACGTGGGGAAAACATATTGCGTATGTGAAACAAAAATGCCAGCAAAGAATCAATTTTCTTCGTACAATTACAGGAACTTGGTGGGGAGCACACCCGGAAGATCTGATCAGGTTGTATCGAACAACCATCTTGTTGGTTCACGAGTACGGTAGCTTCTGCTTTCAATCCACGGCAAAAACACACATCCTGAAACTGCAACGGGTTCAATAACGTTGCCTCCGAATCGCGCTTGGCTGTATGCACTCGACGCATACGATGAGCCTCGAAGTACTCGCAGGTGTTCTCCCACTGACAGATCGTTTCGCGGAACTCTCCTTCCGGTTTCTTATCCGTTGTGAAGCAATGAACCCATTGGTAATAGAAAACTTTGAGAAGCTGCTCGACAGAAATCCTCAAACAAGATTCATGAGTCTCCAAATTGCAAGAAATCCGTGGAATACCAGATCACCATCGGTCGATGGTTGTTCCCTTATTTTTTGCAAACAAGTATCACCATGTCAGTAACAATAGGAGTTTTTTCACAGATGAGTCAACTATAAACGCTTACACTGGATTTGGAGTATGCAACGAATTTCAAAGCGCCTTATATCAACTGCAAAAACCCTGTTCCGTATATGTTGCGGAAGTAGCAGCCATATTCTACGCAGTAGAGCAAATTACCATTATTTCATTTTACGGATAGTCTTACCTCATTGGAGGCTATTCGTTTATTGAGGCCGATGGAGCAGTTTATCTAACTGCTCCTATACCATCACTTTAGTCTGGGTATTATCTCATTGCTCTATTCCAGGTAACGAGAAAGCGGACTCGTTGACTAAAGTTGGCGCTATGGAAGGCGATATTTTTGATCGACAAATCGCCTTTGAGGATTTTTTCTCGTCAACAAGTCCTCACCAACTGGCAACAAAAATGGAATGAGAGTGATCTGGGAAGATGGTTACATTCTATTCTCCCACAGGTGTCGATCAAGCCGTGGTTCAAAGGAGCATCACTGCTCGTTAGATTCGAATTTCTTTTGAATCTGGCTCGCAGGTAGCAATTTATGCGCTTGTGGTAGTGGTTATCACGAGATCGACCACGTGCTTTGGTCATGCACCTTCCATTGTGTTGCTAGATCCTAGTTATCCACATCCCTCAGGGCCCGAGGAAAACAACCTATGCGACCCGTTAGATACATCTTGGCGAGCCGAGATCTCGACTATTGCAATTTAATTTGTGTGTTTTTTAAAACGGATAGATCTGAGGATTTAGTAGTTAGTGTCATCTTGTGTTCTCCCAAGTTGTTAGCGTCCCATCGGTATACCCCCATGTCTGTGTTTTTCATCAGTATGTCGCTTAGTTTGAGATCAAGAGCACATTGCGCTCCAAACCTTGTGTTCTCAATCGCTACCCTGCAATCCATTTGTTACAATTTGTTACCCCTAACCTCGAGATAGCCACGAGTAATCGGCCCCCGCTTTTCTAACGTTAGTTTTAAGTAAGTTTGTAATTTAAACAATGAATATCGGCTCCGCAAAGCTACGGAAAATGAGCCTGGAAAAATAAACGCATGATAAAATAAAAGATAAAAAACGATCGTTTCGCTTGCAACTGTGGTTGAAACCGGTTGTACTTCTCAGTGTATATCACGCAATCGTTCGGACAGTCGATAGCAGATTTTGTTTTGGTGTGCTTTGCCACTACCTGTAGGTCAGTCGGTATCTTTGGTTGTCGCCATTGCACAGGACTTGAATCCTCAAGGAATAAATTAATAATGCTCTGGGATTGCAATAAATTAAGTTGACGTCTCAGCAGCGCTTGCTTTCTCTCCATCATTCTTGTCAGCATCCATCTCAACTATCTCTTCTTCCAGCATATCGAGGCCCATGCCGGCTGGAAATTTTTTACGAAAGACACTCTTCAAATCACCGTTTTTCCCCAGCACCAACGATAGATCATTATTCGGGACTTCTAGTGGTAGGTCATACAACCTCACGTACTGAACGGTGCCCCCCGCAGGTGACATCGACTGATTTTCTATCGGCATAATGGAAAATTAATTGTTCACGGTTGTGCAATAAGCATTGTTGCTATCGTGTGTCCCGCACCGATAAAACACACAGCTGCCTGTGCTGATTGCTAAGGGAGCACTGATCCGTCAAGGTTGTAGATCATTGTTTATAAAAAGTTACTGAAGACATCAAAGAACTAAGATATAGGGAGTTATGTAAAATTTATCTGAAATTTACTTTTTAGTACTATTTTCAGTAAATTCATTTAAATTAATACTTTTATCACTTCACGTCTATTATTACAGATTTGCCGGGATGCAATGAAAATAAAAACTTGCTTCACCTTTAAGGGACAAAACCACTTTGGACTTTCTTAATCCAGGTCATGTAACGAATTACAGCACCAGAAAGTATTAAGCGGTTGAAACAGATTTTCATGACATGGGGCCCTCCTAGAACAATAACTCTAGACAACGCAAAACAGTTCGTGTCAACGGAATTTGAAGAGTTTTCTAGGAACATTGAAGTACCTTATCCTAACCACACATCACCAAAGGCGAAGTCGAAAGACAGAATCGGTCACTCCTTAAAAGTATGAAAATTGCTCATGCACTTTATGATGACTGGAAAGTGGAACTCGAAAGAGAAGTTCCCTATGTTGGGCAGAATTGGATCAAACGTAACCGTGCAATCCAACGATACAGGGAAGAAGTATGACCGCAACGTATCTCATTTAAAGAGGCTGTCCCTGCCATCTGATGGTAATATCGACGAATCATCCGGAACCGGGAGTCAACCGGAAGCGCAACCTTCAAGTTATTCTGCCTCTGGAGTAGGCGATTTTACTATTCGCAGACCGCAGTCTGCTATCAAGCCCAGAAGACGCTACAGTCCAACAAGATAAGTACCGTAAAACGGGGTACCTTTGATAATGCGGGTAACTTTGATAGTATAATATAAAGATTAAATTTACTCTCTGTGCTTTTTCCAAATAAGAAACATTGGTTCCATATTGTAGCTTATTTAGGGTATTTCCGTTGATATGATACATAGTATTTATATAGTATGTGTTACATATTTTACAAAAATATAAAAAAACCATTTTCGTGTTTTTCGTCTTTTTGAAAAAGCACTCAAACCATCACTTATGAAATGTATTTCCGATATAGCCATCACAAATTCAATGTTGTATGCTTATTGCTTATGATGTCTTCTGATTATATACTCATTCAAAGTTTCATATTTAAAGAACTAAATTGTTAGAGTTTCACTCATTTTTTTTCTACATTCATCGAACATTATCAAAGTAACCCCAAATCAAAATACTGAAGTTCGGTCACAAAACTAAAAAATAGTGCAAATTCTTTAATTTTCGTTCAACATATTACTAACGAATTAACTCGTGGTTCCTCAGTCCTTGTTTTATTTAAAACTATAAAATTTGAAAAACAGTCATTGCTGTAAAAACATATTTAGAATATACTTTAAACTTTCAATGTTACC